TATTTATATATATATATATATAGTGTCTTTGCTTTTAATTTACGATTATAACAGCACTTCACTTGCAGTAGTTAAAAAGGATTGTTGTAACGAGCTTTTATATATATAGATGTCATCCTCCTGGCATCTCGGCTAGTTCGATAGGACTATGAGTTATGTTCATTCCTTTGATTCTACATTCTTCCAAGTCTGTATGGAATACGCGTGTAACTTCAACATTTAAAATTTAACCAGCGTTACACTTGCAAACAATGCGAGATTTAGCATTGCATTTGCGATTGTTTTCGAATAAAATTACATTTTGTATTTTATGAAAATATAAGGAATCAGTTTTGTGCTTCGTTTATTTACTGCTTTATTTATTTCATTTATTTACGTAAACAAATGGCAAACAAATGTTTTTCGTTTCATTTATTAATTTATTAATTTATTTTGTTGGCTGCTTTATCATTTATTTGCTTTTTCGAACTTTTCCAAACTTTTCCATGCAAGTAATAGATTCTAATGAAATGTCTTCTTCGAATTATATATTAACTGCATTTAATTTGTTTGTATTACTTAATTTGTTTATTGCATGTTAAAAGATGTATCCTCTTAACAAGTATCTTCATGCCAATGTAGTAATATTACAAAGTTCATTATTTGATTCGATTCAATACGTATAAAAAACAAAATAATTTATCAACATTCTGATATCTTTCTTGAATTTCAAACTCGAGAAACTTACTTCCATTGTAGCGGAACAAAAGGTTATAGGCTTATACCGAATAAATAATTCGTGATGTTGGCCAAATAAATACACGTGTTCTCCACTAATCTCGCACTGTATATTCGCCTATAGAAATTTCCAACGCGAAAAGCACTCTGTCAGGTATACCCGGCCACATATGTTGCAGACAATCCTGCATTTCCTGGCTTATTTTAGTTTCTCTGCGAAAGGGGAGAGGGAGAGAAAGCTGTTATTTCTGTTCCATAAGTTAATACTTCAGGGCAGCCCTCACGTTTGGTTAAATACCAGGCACTGTTCCACTGTTTCAAAACACTTAAAAGTATTACGGTTTTATTTATTGTTAGGCGTTTCTGTTTGTATAAATGAGATTATCGCATGCGAGAGGGTCGCGCTGTAAAAAATAATTTCAACTAAACTCGTACATTTCTCAGAAGATATATCATAATGTACATTCTCACATTATTCTACTAAATTTGAATTAATTACAATACTGCGAGTTATTTGATTGATTAAAATAGGAGTTTGTTAATTTTGCTCATTACGTGCTAAAAAGATATTTAATGAAACAATTATATTTTCAATTAGTAAAACTTTACTTGTTAAAAATAATTTTGCGTCAGCGTTTATAAATAGTACGAATGTATTATGCATACCCAAATTTTTGTCCTTCTCAGATATTTATTTATTTATATGAAAAGAATATGGTTTAATTTACCGCTATTTTATCCTGCTATGCAGTTTTTAATTAAAAAATTGATTTTGTTAAATTCTTGTACATATATTATATGCTTCTATAGGAATTATTTACGCTTTTACCTGATTTCATGACAGATAAGCCATCAACTGATTTCAGCAACAAGATTACTTGCATAAATTCGTTTGACATTTTATTATTTACGAATTAATATAGGCTGTTGAAATTTTCGGATACTTAATGCACATTTTTTATTGAAATAAATACACTGTAATTCTCATTTGTCTAAATTTATATATTATACATAAATAAAATAGCAATTAAATAGGATTTCATCTATGTATAGTTTGTATACATGTATAAAAAAAATGTACAAAGAAATCAATAAAAACATATATAATCATTAAATTAATTAAATGCAAAATAATTATAAAAGCAATGACATTTATTACAAATGTAGCTTGAATTAAACTCTTTCATTTTAAAAAATTGCTGTGTATTAATTATTATTTATATATTAATATATAAATAACAATTAGTATGTAGTTTGTAAAAAATCTTTAATAAACTAAGATATTATTTAAATAAAATATGATTTACAATTGCGTTTTGTGAATGAGAAATTGAAGTCTTGATTTTTGTGAAAATTAAATATAAATTGATAAAAAATTAAAGATTTACTTCTGAAATTATATGCTAAACAGTAATCAACTATATATCGATCTTTGTTGAGTATAAGATCTGTATACAAATTAATAATACTTACTATCAATACAAATTAGATATTGATGATTGATTATTATGTGGATATAATATAATCATTATCATGCGATTTTTTATTTTTAATTCGTATTTACTCGTTTTATTTTTTGTAATAAATTTTGAGTAATAAAAAATGTTAATTTATTCTCAGAATTTTGATCGGATGAATACTTGAAGTAATTGTATCATTCCTCATCCGTAACAAACTTGATTCGACTTTCGACCATAGTGGAATGCCATTTAATAGAGAGGGCTTTACGTGGAATTTTATAATTGATTTCGTATTTGAAGTCATAGCGAGCTGTTTTTCTATGCGACACTGCCGCACAAAGTATTATCATGAGTGTAAAATTATTCTTCTAAGAGCAGACTATCGCAATCAGTCCGAAAATTTTTAATATTCTTAATGATCAACGGGTGGAAAATGTCTCATTAATCAATATCTCATGAAGATTATCATAAACATCGTCTTTTCCGCTAATAATATTAAGCGTAATAATAACTTGCACTCAGTAATTATATGTGAGTATCAATCATTCTAGAAGTAGAATACAAAGATATGATTCCCCGAAGCATTTGCTCACGATAATTACGAAATCTGCTCAAGTGTTTCGACAAAAGTACATTTTATGGAGCAAAAGGAGCAGAAGAGATTGAAAAGAAGAGATCGAGTAAATAAGGAACAAGAGAGAAAGGCCAAGCAAGGAAAGCATGCGCAATTTCTTTTCTTCTCCGTTCATCCTCACAGGATGAGATAAGAAAAAACTCCAGAGCGGAAAGAAAAAAAGTACCGGTTATATCGTAAGAGAACGACTGTAATCGATAAAATATCATGATAGGGATAAGAGGGAGGATAACCCTTCTGCACTCGTGCGCATCACGTACATATAGAAAGATATAAGAAAAGATATGAGAGGAAGTCGCGCGTATAACTCTTATATGATGGACAGGCAATGTTATAGGTAAATAAAAAACAAAACTCTCAAGGAAGATGAAAAAATCGAGTCTTTTTATATTGGAAAAGCAGTCTTTTTCCGATCACGATTTAATGAGAAAGTATTTAACGACAGACAAATTGGCATCTATATGCGCGTACGTACGTAAGTAGTCTTTGGAAGTACGAGTAATCCATTAAATTTGCGTTGTCAATGTAATAGATTACCTTCATATAGATCTATCTCTCTCTCATACTCACAACCAGTTGTTGTTATAAGATATATTTGTTCTTGAGAATACAATAAGACCTGCGAGTCTTTTCTCATTGACGGACATAATAACTTGCAATCAATGAGGATCATTCATCAGGCTAAGTACGATCGTGATACGTAAAATTGAGCAGGACGAAATTAGCGGACTCTTTGGTCCTTTGCGGATGAAATTGCGCGCGAAAAGCACGATAATAATA